GGAATAGTAGACACATTCCGAGGCCACAAGTTTGAGATAAGCAGCACTCTGTCCAACTTGTTGAACAGTAAAGAATTCCTAATGGTGAAATTATCCCTCAGCGAATCAGAGATTAACATAACAGATCTTACTTGGGCGACCGAAGAGGCTGGATATCAGCGAAATCAACAGATGGGGATGGGAATCACAGGGGCAACAGGGATGATCATACTAGTCCTGGCTATTCTAACCTTAACATACCATGTGGCCAAAATGAATGCCGAACTTAAAAGACTAATCGCAGGCACAAGCCACCTACCATTCGAGCCCAGGAACAGGGATAGAGCCAAGGCCTGATGATGCCACCCAAGAATAACCGTAGAGACTATCTTTTTAACGATATCTCCTATAACACGTAGTCAATAGAATAATTTTTCCCTCCCTTATCGTTTTACCTTCCTTTAGAATTTTTTTTCTTTTTCTTTTTTCCTCTCTCTTGTCACATATAACCATGTTAAGTTGTGACACGTACGCGCGCGTTGTAAGGAATAGCAGCAAAACTTGAGGACAATCGATGGTTCATGATGGAAGAAGGGTATACATATTTTTTTAAAAATAACCCGTGGCCATTTGACCACTGGTCATTTTTAAAAGGGCGGAATGTTGTATCCTAACCCTTCTTCCAAAACTGAGATTAATCATATTTGATGAGATTTTTTTTATATTATCTTTTTACTTGTTTTTTTTAATGAATGAAACACACCAAAGCGCACCAAACTGCAAAACACCAGGTGTGGTTAAGTAATGAACCGGCGGAGGGCTAGGGTGGCAGAATTTGCAACCTTGCTTCAAGGGAAGATAAGGCCTGATGAACGGGCACATGTCACCCGTGCAGGCGGCAGAGACAGTGAGAGTGTCAGCCAGACATAGTTAAGGCAAAAAGCCCAACTATCCTGCATGGTTTTAAAGTAACGTCAAAATTCGTAATTCAACAACAGAGTAGGCTAAATTATCGATCCTCGCGCTCGCTCAAATTGGAGACCAGGCTGCGAGCTACATCAATGAACCATTGCCCATTTGCTAATCCAATACTGAATGTTAATATTACTGAAGTCAAAACGAATTCTATGACCTCAGCACATGGGCAAATAATAGGGCAGTGTCGACTCAAAGGCAATGGAAGAAACAGAGGGCCTTTGTCTAAATCACAACCACAGAAAGCCAGGAATCAGCACTGATTGTGTGTTTAGGGATTCCGAGCTAATTAGAACACGTGCACACAGAAAGGGAGGTAGAAGCACGCCTTGTCCTCCTGCAGCTGAGGAAACAAAGATAAAGATAAGTGGGTCAGCTCAAGGCTGTGTGCACAGGGGAGTGAGCTGATTTAAAAGAGTGTTGTATATCTCTCAAGGCGGGCAAGACCCAGCTGAATAACAAGGCTGCGGGGGTCACCAGAAGTTCGCATTCGCCTAGTTAAGACAAAAAGCTCAATTATTCTGTATTGCTATTAAAGTAACGTTAAAGTCGGAATTTAACAACAGGGTAGGCTAAAGTTATTGATATTCACACCCACTCCAATTAAACCAGGCCACAAGTTACGCCTACTGAACCATCACCATCATTAAGTCAATATGAAATGTTATTTCCATACTTTAATACTTTCTATACAACTCGACCCGAAGCATATGACAATCAGAACCTTCCTAAGTCAAAATTGAATCGCACCCAGACAGGAGCGAATAGTCGATATAAGGTTGAAGAGGGAAGGAAATTAAGAGCACGGCGAACTGCAAACGTAAGCAAAAAGCCGGGAACAACACCAGCCCAGCAACAGCGAGTCGGGCTTCGACAGGCCATAAAGTAGGAATAATAACTCCCGGGGTCAGGGGACACAAGAAGAAGCAGGCAGACAAAAACCAGAACTGACTCCAAGGTTCAACCGCCCTCACCTACAAGGAGTGACGGAAATTAATGAGGCCTTGAGTTAACGGCGTCAGCTGGACGGCAACAACAACGGCGAGCAGAGATAGGGTGGGGCAAAGACTGCGGGGCTATGAAATGCAACTTCGTGTCAGTAAAGCTCTGACAAACAAGTTAAGTTAAAGACATCACAATACATAATATCGGACATAACATCAATGTTAACGCTATTCACCGTAAACTATATTCCGCTTATATAACCATGCAGACACCAAGGAATACGAATTCCTAGGATCAAGAAGCTTACCCCTTGACCTAAGATATCGGAAATAAGTTAATAATAATAAGCATATGCATGAAAAGACAAAGTAAAACTTATGAAAAGCCAGGATAACGGGATGAATCACCACCAGGTCGAATATAAATACATAATAAAAACGATGTTAAACCCAGGGTCGGAGAGAAAGGGAGATCCCGGCCGTCTTTGTATCCCCGCAGAGCGGGATAGGAGTGTGTATACGCTCGGGGAAACACCTCCACTGGAGTCAAGCACCACGATGGGAAACGACAGACCTTAGGTTACATACAGAATCATAACTGTGAAATAGTAAGGGACAAATGTTAACTTAAAACTTTTTAACCATTTCTTTGTGCGCCGGGTCGGAGAGAGCGTTGCCCCTCCCTCCAGGTGGTGCGAACAAAGACGCCTATGAGACATTTGTAACGTCTGTGTTTTGGGTTCATGAAGAAGGCCAGACAAGAGATAATATTGCACCCAGACAGAGAGACGACCTCGAGGCAATTTGTAACATCTGATTGTTTGCTCGTGGGTTTATGGAGGGAGTGTGACAACGGAATATATCGTGGGTGATGCACACAAGGACATACGGACGTACGGACACACACATGGACACACCTGCCTACGGACAGATCCTGACACAGCAAAAATCGAAAGAAGTCCCGCCTTGTGGGCGGGATCCAGGGGGATTTTTCGGCATAAAGGAACGGATCCTGAGCATTGGAAACTAGTGCGACCAGTGGGTCCACTCAGCAGTGCGACCAGCGGGTCCACTCAGGAGTGCGACCAGTGGGTCCACTCAGGAGTGCGACCAGCGGGTCCACTCAGGAGTGCGACCAGTGGGTCCACTCAGGAGTGCGACCAGCGGGTCGACTCAGGAGCGAGGGCGACCAGCGGGTCGACCCAGGAGCGAGCTCGACCGGGAGGGTCGGCTCAGGAGCGAGCTGCGACCAGCGGGTCGGCTCGACTCATCTTCAGCTCGTCAACCTCTGCCGAGTCGGAGGTCTCTGCTGCCGCCGGAGTGGTGAGCATCGCGGTTTGGCGACGACCCCACGCTGCGCGCTGCGAGCGGGTTGTGGGCGCCACCTACCGACCGGGTTCCGAACTGCGACAGCGTATCAACAGCCATCCGAACCAGTTCACCACGGTGACAGGGGAGCGACTGATACGTATGACGCGCACCGCCCCTTCACCACACGACCACCAGGCGTCTGTTTGACATAAAGAATCGACTCCGAACACTGACTATTCAAGACAACTCTTACCACTCAAACACACTCGAACCCATAAGCCATCCGTGGCTGGGAAGGCATCACAACGAGACCGAGTGATGGCCATCCGTCGTTTATAAGAGTATTCGTAATTTTATCTTTAATATTTAGTGGGCTGTACTCTTAATCGCATAAATTCCCAACAGATCCATCAATACGAACTGATTCTTGGCACCTCCTTCCGCCGAGCCACGCTCACGTGGGGAGTGGTGGCCCACCGGATCCTTATCAGGTGATCTGGTCCCCAATTAGTAAACTTGGTATAAGATAACGATCTTCGGAAAAGGAGCACCGTCGCAGGCCCTTACTCCGAGCCGTTCTGTTGTCAGATAACCCGCCGATGTATCTGTTGAGATTGGTGCCTTTAAGAATAATAACTGTTTTGATTGTGTTTTTTTATCGCCGTATAATCTTTCAAGTATCTTTCAGTCATAATCGCCGCACGTACTCGCATCCTCTACAGAATATTCAACTGTCCCGTGACCCAAGGTGCTAACAACGTGATATGGGTTGCGTATGACCAATAAGGAGTGCGGTACTGCGTGAACAATATTGAGTATAATCATTCATTAACGTTAAGGTTTTCTTAGCATAGTATTTGCATATTTTAACGACTCTCTCTCTCACTAACAACCATCGCGTTATGCGGGATCCATGTGCCGTTGTCAAAGTGAAATCAGACAATCGTTGATGATACTGTATTGATGCCGTGTTGACGTTCCGGGATTGAGAGTTCGCATACTATATCATAGTTAAGGTTGAATTAGTAATAAATTGATCAATACAGAAGTGGTTGTGTGATTCTTTCCTGAAATCTATGCATAAGATCTGCTTCTGCGTTGAGATCTGAACTTGGTGACCTTAATAAACACACTAATACATACTCAGTAAATGTTAAAGCGATAACGGGGTGAACCGGGGACCTAAAATATAACCACGAATACACACTCTGGGAATGTTAAAGCGAGAATGAGACGAACCTAGACAACGATGCCGAGTTAATCTAAGTTAATCTTGCATACTTACACCACACCTGCATAACTGCATACGATTAATTGCCTTATTCCGATCGATAACCCACCCTCGTCACCGAGGCGGGGTCTGGTTATCATAACGACTTGCATTATCATAATTACACCCACTCGCATAATTAATACGATTACCTCTCGAATTGGCATAATTAAAATGTGCACAATTACATAAATTAACATATTTCCGGATAATTACACATTTGGCCAAATTTCATTTAATTATTATTATTTTCACTGAATATTCATAACCCACATATACAACATAATAATTTCACCCACGCACGCATACAACATAACAAATTTCGATAACCAATAAATACAACCCCCCCCCCCCCTGGCCCCGTGCCCCCCCCCCCCTGGCCCCGTGCCCCCCCCCCCTGGCCCCGTGCCCCCCCCCCTGGCCCCGTGCCCCCCCCCCCTGGCCCCGTGCCCCCCCCCCCTGGCCCCGTGCCCCCCTCTGTCCCCGTGCCCCCCCTGTCCCCGTGTCCCCCCCCCCCTCACCTGGCGGTGTCTCTGAGCTCTCGGGGTCTTCGCCTCTCGCCTCCTCTCGCTGCGCAGCTTCTGACAAGAAGCAGAAGCCGCAGCTGTCACTCAACCAGCACGCCCCGCCCCCTGCTCCTCCTACAACCTCCCTGCACCCCGCCCCCTTCACTTCACCCCGCCCCCTACAACCCCCCCGCCCCCCCTCCCCCACAACGCCCCCTCCCCCAGCCCCTCCCCCCACAACGTCCCCTCCCCCAACCCCCGTACACCCCACCGCCACAACTCCCCAGGCCCCCCCACAACCCCCCAGCCCCTCCCCCCCGCGCCGTGAACGGCATCGCGCTGGAAACCCCCTTGAGCAGCAGGCGACCAATCGGGGCACGGGACGAGACTCGCTGACCCGCTCCGATTGGCCGCGCTCCGATCGCTCGCGCGCTCTGATTGGTCGCCTCGCGGCGGCGGTTTCCCAGTGGCGGTGCCGCTCGGAGCCGGCGCCGCGGATTTGGCGGCGACGTCGCTCGGTTCAGTTTCATTTGTTACCCACGAGCTCCACTCGCCGCCTTGGCCGAGACTCGGACTCTCGCCTGGGATGAACACGCGGCCTACGCGGAGGGTGGGGGGGGGGGATGCGTGACGTCAGCAGGCACACTGCGTGACATGACAGAGATGTGACGTCACCGCTCACTTGCCGTGCAAAATATATCCATTATTGACCCCCCCCCCCCCCCCCACAAAATACAAAAGTAAAAAAAAAAATCTATTTTTATATTTGTTGCATTGTGTACAGTCTGGAAGCTACCCACATGCCAAATTTCAAGTTTGTTGCATGTCGGGAAGTATGCTAAACATTTAGAACAGACACATTCACAAACTTCCCCTTTTAGATGTACAGACAGATAACCCCGTGAGCCATGCGGCTCTTGACTCGGGTGCAACAAACAAGAACACGAACAAGGAGCATCTTAAAGTGACGACGCGCAACAGAAACATCCAGGAAGAAACAGCAAAGTCTTCCAGAAAAAAACACTGCATTTCAACGCTGTGTGCAAAAATCCCAGTGGGATGCAAGTCAAACAATAACAACCACAAGACAATTTAGATTAAAGTTATCACCAAAATAAAGCTATAAAAACAATGTAACAGTGATCATAGGAATTGTGATTCAAATGTAACAATAAACGATGTCCATAACATGTACGACCAAACTTTGCAGCCATAGCTGGCTGCATGAGTCACTCCATAACAGCAGGAGAACCACTGAATAGCAGTGGCAGCTTGGGGTGTACAGCTCCTCTAGAGCAGTTTTTAGTGCAGATCTCACAGGCAGTGATCCACGTTGCAGTTTATTGGCGACAGCATTCCAGACCCTGGGGGCATCAACATGAAAGGCTCTTCCACATTTATTCTTCGAAACAGTGAGGAGATCCAGCAGGTAGTCTGCTGATTTTTTTGTAAGTAAATCGTGAATGAATACATTTGATGCACAAGCCGTCGATCATTGAGAGATGTTAAGTTTGACCCAATGTAGAGATCGCAGTGGTGGGTCCAATATGGGCAGTTCAATGCAAATCTTAAGGCCGAGTGATACATTGAGGTGGGAGCGACGTCCACGTTGCTCAGTGTGCAACCTTCCTCTCCACCTGCAGCAGCACCACATCAATATTCATGCCCACAGTGGTAGTCGCGATAAATGTGTTCATTAGAGACAGCGAGCCAGAGGAAGGAGGCTGCTGCTGTTTGCTGCGTCAGCACTCAAACAGCAGCAAATCTCGGTCTCCTGCCCGGAATATAAACTTTGTGTTGTTGTGGATTTATTACAGAGCGCCTCGATACAAGGCGCTTTGCAACAATTATAACATTTTACATACGATGGGAGTGGTACCATTTTATATACACCTACAGCACGTGCACCTACAGCTGTGTGTGAGTGTGGTGAGTAGTGGTGCAGTGGTTAGCACGCTGTGTGTGTGGTGAGTGGTGGTGCAGTGGTTAGCACGCTGTGTGTGTGGTGAGTGGTGGTGCAGTGGTTAGCACGCTGTGTGTGTGGTGAGTGGTGGTGCAGTGGTTAGCACGCTGTGTGTGTGGTGAGTGGTGGTGCAGTGGTTAGCACGCTGTGTGTGTGTGGTGAGTAGTGGTGCAGTGGTTAGCGCGCTGTGTGAGTGTGGTGAGTGGTGGCGCAGTGGTTAGCGCACTGTGTGTGTGTGTGGTGAGTAGTGGTGCAGTGGTTAGCACGCTGTGTGTGGTGAGTGGTGGTGCAGTGGATAGCACGCTGTGTGTGTGGTGAGTGGTGGTGCAGTGGCTAGCACGCTGTGTGTGTGGTGAGTGGTGGTGCAGTGGTTAGCGCGCTGTGTGTGTGGTGAGTGGTGGTGCAGTGGTTAGCGCGCTGTGTGTGGTGAGTGGTGGTGCAGTGGTTAGCACGCTGTGTGTGTGTGGTGGTGCAGTGGTTTGCGCGCTGCGTGTGTGTTGTGAGTGGTGGTGCAGTGGTTAGCGCGCTGCGTGTGTGTGGTGAGTGGTGGTGCAGTGGTTAGCGCGCTGTGTGAGTGGTGAGTGGTGGTGCAGTGGTTAGCACGCTGTGTGTGTGGGGAGCGGTGGCGCAGTGGTTAGCACGCTGTGTGTGTGGGGAGTGGTGGTGCAGTGGTTAGCACGCTGTGTGTGGGGAGCGGTGGCGCAGTGGTTAACGCGCTGTGTGTGAGTGGTGAGTGGTGGTGCAGTGGTTAGCACGCTGTGTGTGGGGAGCGGTGGCGCAGTGGTTAACGCGCTGTGTGTGAGTGGTGAGTGGTGGTGCAGTGGTTAGCACGCTGTGTGTGTGGGGAGCGGTGGCGCAATGGTTAGCGCGCTGCGTGTGTGGTGAGTAGTGGTGCAGTAGTTAGCGCGCTGTGTGTGTGTGGGGAGTGGTGGTGCAGTGGTTAGCACGCTGTGTGTGTGTGGTGAGTAGTGGCGCAGTGGTTAGCGCGCTGTGTGTGGTGAGTGGTGGTGCAGTGGTTAGCAGGCTGTGTGTGTGGGGAGCGGTGGCCCAGTGGTTAGCGCGCTGTGTGTGGGGAGTGGTGGTGCAGTGGTTAGCGCGCTGTGTGTGTGTGTGGTGAGTGGTGGTGCAGTGGTTAGCAGGCTGTGTGTGTGGGGAGCGGTGGCCCAGTGGTTAGCGCGCTGTGTGTGGGGAGCGGTGGCGCAGTGGTTAGCGCGCTGTGTGTGTGGTGAGTGGTGGTGCAGTGGTTAGCACTGTGTGTGTGGTGAGTAGTGGTGCAGTGGTTAGGACTGTGTGTGTGGGGAGCGGTGGCGCAGTGGTTAGCACGCTGTGTGTGTGTGGTGAGTGGTGGTGCAGTGGTTAGCGCACTGTGTGTGTGTGGTGAGTGGTGGTGCAGTGGTTAGCAGGCTGTGTGTGGGGAGCGGTGGCGCAGTGGTTAGCGCGCTGTGTGTGTGGTGAGTGGTGGTGCAGTGGTCAGCACTGTGTGTGTGGTGAGTAGTGGTGCAGTGGTTAGGACTGTGTGTGTGGGGAGCGGTGGCGCAGTGGTTAGCGCACCTGCGGGCTTGAGACAGGGTGCGAGCCGTGGCCGGGTGAGGGGCTGGGGGCTGCCCACGTTGGTCACGTGCCCCGATGCGTCTTCGAAGTCCCATTCGCTGCTGCTGCTTCTTCGTCCTCTTCTCGTTACGCCCCTTGACCCAGCCAAGCCTCGCCGAGTCTCAAGACTCACTTTCAGGAGGCTCCTGTCAAGGTTTCGCAGCGGGAGGGGGCGATGTTGCTGTCGCGCCAATCGAGTGATCTGCAGGCAATCTGTAAACACTGGGATGTGTGTCCAACACCACTCACACCCTCTGTTTAGTTGCAGCTATAGCAGGGAACTGGGGGACGCTCGTGCAGGGCAGGGGGACAGAGAGGAGATACAAACTCCACGCAAAAAGGCGCCCGAGGCGGGAATCGAACCACGGCGCTTCTTACTGCGAGGCGCACGTGTTGCCATCTCGACTATTTCGCGCGTGAGTGGAACATTTGACGATGCCAGGCTCCTCACTATTAAGCTATGCTGCTGGAGTTGGCTGTGGTGTTCACGTCGAGGTCTCTGCAACATCGACACTATGAACCTGACCAGCCGAGTTCAGGCGGTGACGTCACGGCTGACACAGGCGGTGACGTCACGGCTGGGTGGTACCTGGACCCACGTGACTCGTCGCACTGCCTCGTGCCGTCAAGTTTGGCCAAATGTTCCCAACACCGCAATTGCGCGGCCTTGCCTTCACCCATGAGTGGATGATTACAATCATGTTGTCATGGTGACAGAGTTTGGTCTGATCAACCGATTATCATGCTGGCAGAGTCGTATTTACATCCAACATTCCAAATCAAAGACAAAGATCCCCCATAGAGCATCAATAGACTGTTGAGGCGAGGGCCTATGAAGGCCGGCACGGCACACGAGGGGGCCGGTGGCCACCACCACACCCGGCCGCCTTTGTATCCCTGGTGCTGATTTTGACACATCGCACTCGGCACTCATTTGAGGCTAAGTCGACCTAGGGGAGGAGGCCCAGGACCGGTTCAGATAATCGTCGCCGGTGTTGGCTGTGAGCCGGATTCGAACCCGGGTGGGCGGGTTCGTAGCGGCGCGCTCACCACCGCACCACCGCTCCCACGACCACCCCGCCACCCTCACCACCGCACCACCGCTCCCACGACCACCCCGCCACCCTCACCACCGCAACACCGCTCCCACGACCACCCCGCCACCCTCACCACCGCAACACCGCTCCCACCACCACCCCGCCACCCTCACGCACCGCTGCCGAGTGAACTCAACGAGACGGGGGATGTCGAATCGTCACTGTGGTGTGCACGTGACACTCACTGCCGCAGTGCATGCTGGCTCACGTCCAGCCGAAGTCTCACGTTTGCTGCGTGTTCGCATTAGGCCTCGGCAAGGTAAGGTAAATTACCCTTTTTACCCGGTAAAATGGTAAAGGTGTCGACATGCCAAGGGGTAAGGTAAAGGGTAGGGTAAAGGTAGCTCGGAAGAATTACCCGGTAAGGTAAGGGTAGCGCGAAGTATTACCCGGTAAATAAGGTGCCTTGTTTACCGCTAAAAGCTCCGTGGCAC